CTGCCAGAGGAAGTGGTGGAGGCTGGTACAATTACAACATTTAAAAGGCATCTGGATGGGTATATGAATAGGAAGGGTTTAGAGGAATATGGGCCAAATGCTGGCAAATGGGACTGGATTAAATCAGGATATCTGGTCGGCGTGGACGAGTTGGACCGAAGGGTCTGTTTCCGTGCTGTACATCTCCATGACTCTATGACTGTAAGTCACAATTCCCATAGGGATTACTCTTTTGGAAATTCTTTGGTAGATTTTCGACACTGTAAGACTGAATAATTTGAATGTTGAAAAATCTTACTATCTGGTAGGTGACTACTGCCACAATTACCATGATATTGTAGAATTTGAGCCATAATAAGTACTTCCATTTTTATGCATTTTATAAAATTGTCTTTTTAAAAGAAACCACTTCCAGTTTTTTTTCTAAGTTTCTATCTCATGAGAAAATCTACTTTTGCAATGCAGAAAGACATTTTGATTGCATTTATCCTTAATGCAAATGGATGCCATACACATTGAAGTGATTCTGTATAATCAGTGAAATGCAGTGCAGAATGTTTAATGTTTATGTAATCCATTGTTTGTGCACTGATCTCTGCTAAGATCTGGTGGGACCTAGTGATGTGAATACAGTAATGTGTAACAAAATACATTTAACCGCTACAGCTTGAATTTTGCAACTTCAGAATTTGCATCTTTGCAGATAAAATCTAGCAGTTTTAAATTGTGAGTTATCCAGAAACCTAACTATTCTTTATAGCAAGGTCACACACCTGGCAAGATAAATTGTTTGCATATCATAGGGGAGTCTTAATCAGACTGAGGAAATTCCTGTTCCCTGACATCTTTTGATTACTCCAGAAGACCATCAGATTACATGATGTCACTTTCTCACAAGTATTCAGTAAAGCAACATTATTCGAAGGAATTAAAGTTGTTGTCTGTACATGTGTTTTGAATTTCCATACAGGTACTTCATTTTCTCCTTAATCTAGCAATCAGGGGATACAAAACAAGTGTTAACTGGTTCAGCAGATAACTCATGCAGACTTTGGGACTGTGAAACAGGTAAGCTGTCATTAGTCTGTACAATTACATTTGTAAGTGTCAGTGTTGATATTATTGAATTAGTAATCCAGAGACCCATTCTAATGTGCTGGGGATATGGGTTCAAATCCCATCATAGCAGGTGGTGAAATTTAAATTCAATAAGCCTTGTCTAAGGCCAACTATGTAACCATTGTCAATTGTTACACAAATCCATCTAGTTCACCAGCTTTCTTTGGGGAAGGAAATCTACCTTGCTTAACATGTCGAGCACGCATATGACTCCAGACCCACAACAATGAGATGGGTTCTTAACTGTCCCCTGAAATGGCCCTAGCAAGCCACTCCCTTCAGGGTAATTAGAATGGGCAACAAATGCTGGCCTAGCCAGTGACCCCTGCATTTCATGAGCATATTAAAAAAAAGTCATTTTCTATATCAGAAGATTTTATTTTTCCCTGATTTCCTCCCTTTTCTTTCCAAAGGTGTTACTTTCTAGCTAGAAGGTCCTTTCTGACAGTTGCCCTTTCTTATATTATGCTCAATTCACCACTATTGAAATGCAGGCCTTGACAATAATTGCGAAGATGCTTTCTGAAGTAATCAGCACTGATGCTGCTGAGCCCTGTCTAATTCTAACACACGCACCTTCACAGCAGTGGTCAGGGTCTGACACTGTAACCAAATATATATCTTTTCTGTCTCCCTTAAGCCACTCAGCCTGTGTGTTAATAGGGCAGTATGAGATCAGCTAACTGTGGGCAGAACAAAATTTGGATGTGAGATTTCCTAGTCTTTATGTATGTCTCAGTTACCAGCTAGATAAACTTGTTGAGCCACCAGGCATCCTGCTTCACAAATGTGACCACACTTTAAAAGAACTTCATTGGTTGTTAAGCCCTTTGAAACATCCAGTGGTCATGAAAAGCATTATAAACACAGTTCACTCTGTCATTTCGTTTTACCAGTTTATTGGTTAATGTGCAGTACCAAAGACCTAAGAATTAAGTTTTATATACTGAAGGTTATGTAAATCTTTATATTAGGATTACTTTCCTGTATTTGTAAATTATGACTGTTAAAATAAAGTTTGCTAATTTTGTTAAATGTTTTATCTGCTGTATTTAATTCTATTCTCATGCAATATTGTACCGTTTTTAGCACTGCCTACTTGAATTGCAAATTCTGTTTGTTTTACATTCATCAGATTAACAATTTTCATTACTAGGGAAGCAGCTTGCTTTTTTTAAAACAAGTTCTGCTGTCAGAACGGGTGGATTTGACTTCAGTGGAAACATCATCATGTTTACAACTGACAAGCAGATGGGCTACCATTGTTACGTCAGCTTCTTTGACATACGAGACCCTGCTCAAATAAGTAAGGAAATATGTTTTAATAGTTACAAGAAAAAGCTTCCTTCAAAGATTAAACTTCTCTTAAGGAGCATTTTTAAAGAAAGACTGAACTTTTAGTACCAGCTGGTTAAATTACAGGTAAGAAAATCTAGTGGGATATGGTACAAGAGCAGCTCACATGTAGTAATCTAATTTTGTAATCTTCGATCTCTCCACCAGTGCGTTCGTTTTTATGGATACAGATTATAGGTACACACAGATAAAATGAATGTTTTCAATGCCCATGTTTACAAAATAGGCAGATCTTGTAATTTTATGTAGTTTTCAGGAACATGGAAGCATTAAAATAATACATAAGTATTTTTCTTTGCGTATGAATTTATGATTGTTTATGCAATAACTGAAGATCCATAATTAATTTGGAACTGTCAACTGAGAATTTAATTTGGAACCTTACTATTGTTTAAAATGGGCCATGAATTGAAAATGTTAAGCGGTTATTAGTCTAACCTTAAAACTAACCTCCATGTGAACAGATTGATGAAAGTGAAATTGGACTTGATTTCCATTGTGGTAACCATTTGATGGTGCTGTTTTCTCGGTGATAAAGCTGATGTGGTATTGATCCTGTTTGATAAAATATTTAGCAACAATAAAGATTAACCGTTGCCTCATTAATTTTGGGAGCTTTTCGTCTCACTATATATTTTTCCTGTTCTTGTTTTTGTTATTTTGACTTTGGCAACTATTTATTTTACGTGCAGTATATTTAAAGAACACAGCAGTGTGAAATCCTTGAACAAAGGAAACAGGGTTGCACTACTTGCTTTCAACATATTAATGCTCCCTTTGTGTCCTAGTTTTGTGCTGCAGCAGATAAATTATGTAATTTAGTACTGGGTTCTAATAGCTGAAAACCTGTTAAAATTGATGCCACCTGCATTACTTCAACTACTGCTTGTTGGATAATACTGCTGTGTTTGTTTCTCTCAGTTGTGTCCTGCATTCTATTTTTGTTTTGATCTTGATAGTATTATCCATGACATCAATCCAACCTCTGCAACCTACATTCTCCAGCCTTTCACCCCTCAGTATCTTTTAACTCCCTGACTCTAACCTCCTACCAACTGCCATTAGTTGAACACTTGGAAGCGCCTCATCTCTGCTTTTTAGAACTCCCTCTCCTCCCTGATCTTTACACTTTTAAAAAACACTAACTAATTATTTAAGCTTTAAGTCTACTTTTATCAGGTCTCCTGATAAAACTCTCATATGTGAGAGCTTTCTGTGTACAAGATGACTCAGTTTTCTCTGTGTGTACAATTCTGTGCACGAATTGGCTGCCTTTCTTTAACATTATAACAGTAACTGCATTTCAAAAGTACTTTATTGGCTGGAAAATGCTTTGAGATGACCTAAAGTTAGGAAAGGTGCTATGTAAATGTAAGACCTTTTTGATCTTTTATTGAGTAACCTCAGAGCTTTAATTTTATATTTACTTTCCTTATTAATTTTTAGGTAACAATGAACCGTATATGAAGGTACCAGCCAGTGAGTCAAAAATAACCAGTGCTGTTTGGGGACCTCTTGGAGAGTTTGTCATTGCAGGACATGAAAATGGTGAATTAGTACAATACAGTGCTAAGGTAAGGAGAAATAGCCGAATGATTGCAATCTGGTGGCAACATCAGAATATAAATGACATGCTGAGCGCACTTTTAGAGTAGGTGTTACCACCTCACAAGCAGAGCTTTGCCTCTGGAGGCAGAGGACAAACAGCAATGATGGTTTAACAGTGTTTTTTCACAACTATGTAGACGTTTTGAAAGTGGATAGTCTGTTGCTAGAATGGCATATAATGTGGGAACAATGTGATGAGCTTGCATCAGGAACCCGCATACCGTAAAACAGTGATCAATAACACATTTGCTTGATCTCTATTAATGTGGTCAAGAAGGAAGGTCTGTCCATACAGTTGCAAAATAATAATAGGTTATGCCAAACTAATTTCCATTTAGAAGTATGAGTATATTTGTTATTATCTACATTAATCAGATATTCTGCTCTTGTAGAGCTAATGAGAGAAAAAAAGCAGAATTGGAAGAAAAATCATAGATTTGTTCAGAACAGCAGGACTTAAACTGACCAAGAAATAGCAGACACAGATGTAAATGATGGAAGGTAGAAAACTAAATTAATGCAGAAAAAATAAATAGCATTTAAAGTAAACGAGGGAGATCTCTCGGAGAGAGAACGATCATAAAAGATAAACAGAGCCTTTACATCATATACTGTGTTGGGTAGCAATGTTCATGATTATGTTAGATTGATATCCCTAACCGATGTCTCTAATCCCAGTTATCAGCAGGGCTTTACCTTTGATGTTGTAAGTTGTATAGAGATGTACAAGACTATGTTTATCTTGTTGAGAAAGAGGTAATATCTGCTAAGGATGTTGAATTTTTAGTTTTTGAAAATGTTTTCTGATTATGTTATATATTATGTTATGTTTATATGTCATTTTTTAATTAGAAAAACAGTAGTCTTTGAACAAATCTGAAATTATCTCATCAACACAATTCCCAATGACTGACTTGATTTGGGGTGAATGGACCACACTTTATTGTCCCCCACTGTATCATACTCCTTTAACACTTGAGTTACTTAAGTAATAATCCGTAAAGTACGTGGAATTGTCCAGGCAAAATGCTTCAACATTTTTTTTCTCTCATCACTAGGAATGCCAATAAAGGGATGAAGTTAGGTTAATTTGCTGGCTGTTCCTGTTAATCCACTAGTCATCCAGTTTGAAATGCCAGCAAGATGATTTTGATAATGTAGAAACATGACTTAGCAGTAAATTTTATAGATGTCCGTTTCTGAGAGATCTCTTCAAATAGTAGGTTTTCCTGCCTGCCATATTGATTTGCGCAGCCACTGACCAGAAAATCTACACTGTCTGCAATCATTGGTTAATTCTGAAACATCTTAAATTGTGATTGCCTCACTGTGATAACTGACTTCCTCCTCAGTTCTCTTTCTCACCATTTCTTTTACTGTCCATTTTCATCTTATATTTTCATTTTAATATTAATCTTGACAAGGAATATTGTTTTTATTTCCTTTGAAATTCAAGGTGTTTCTCAAAGAAATGTTTTTAATTTATAACAATCTACTGTGATTGAAAAATCACAGCTCTTGAGAATTGTGAATTTTGATGGACCCTTCCTGAGTCATGACGTTTTTTTTTTTGGCTTGTTTTCACTTAGAAAACTAAATGAGGTTACATTTCATTACACCAATGTGACCAGCTTTAGATAATGCCCATCACCCTTCTTGTCTACTGAATGGAGGAAAGCTTATTTATTTGAGAGGATGACCTGGTATTAATGTCCCAATTCTATGTCGATTAATGATTTTTAGAGAATTCTCCTTTGTTATTCTGGAGTCTTGACGGTTCTATCAAATATATGTCTTTGAAGTGATTGAACAATGATGATTTGTTTGTATTTTTTGCAATTATTGACACTTATGTTACTTTATTGACAGTCTGGGGAAATAATGACAAAAGTAAAAGAACACACCAAACAAATTAACGACATTCAAACATCCTTAGACCTGACCATGTTTATCACAGCTTCAAAGGACAGTACTGCTAAGGTAGGCAGTGTTTTCCAGTGTCACAACCTTGTCACTTTTCTGTTGTAAGCTGAACTGTGGATTCATACAGGTTCAATATTCGATTCCAAATTGTGTTTGTAGAACTATTATAACATCATGTACAAAGTCTGTTTTGCAATATTAAAAATGAGGATTTTTGTTGAAGAATAAGATTTGACTAGCCTGGCTATATCTGAAGGCATTAATTTTGCTAATTTGGTAGAATAAGTGCTTTATTCCATCAAATGTTGATGTGTTGTCAGGGACAGTAGTTCTGCAGATTCAAGTTTTTGGCTGTTGTCACCATGTTTGAACTGGAACTGGAAGTTGTCAAAAACACATATTTCTGGCACAAACTGAACTAAATGTTGATGCTCACTCTGTTAGTGAATTGGCGTCACCAACGTTTGAAATTTTTATTAATTAGATGTGGTTTGTTCTTAAATTTAATGTACTTTGCCATCTAGCCTACTTTTATGTTATGAAACATTTTGTAGGTTTTTGTTGAATAAATGTTCTTTATTGATAATGTAAGCATATTTGTGGAGGAATAATCTTTTAAATGATCTTATTTTAGTTATTAATTTTCTGTGCAGTTTGAGCTATGAATAGAGGCTGACAAAAGTTCATCAGGGCCACTTAAGCCAACCCAGAAACTTCACATTGGTACCCACCCTATCCTGTGATCACCCTCTGTTGCTTCCAAGCAAATTTATCACAGAATTTTGCAGAAGAAGCCATTCGGCCTATCATGTCTGCACCAGCTCCTCAAACGAACATCATTACTGTTTTCGTGCTTTCTCCCCATATCCTTGCTCATGATTTCCATTCAAATAATTATCCTACACCCTCTTGAATACTAAATTGAACCTACCTCCACCACAGTGCATTCCATCCCCTCCCTACTGGCTATATGAAAATATTTTGCATCACTTTTGCTCCTTTGCAATTTTTTTTTTGTTCACTGTGGAACATGGGTGTCACTGACTGGGCCCAGTATTTATTGCCTGTGCCCATTTGCCCTTGAGAAGGTGGTGGTAGTGAGCTGCCTCCTTAACCACTGCAGTCCATGTGCTATAGTTTGATCCACATTGCAGTTAGGGAGGGAATTCTGGGATTCTGACCCAGTGACACTCCAGTAACGCTGATATATTTCCAAGTCAGGATGGTGAGTGGCTTGGAAGGGCAGAGGGTACTGTTCCCTTGTGTCTGTTGCCCTTGTTCCTTCTGGATGGAAGTGGTCATGGGTTTGAAAGATTCTGTCTAAGGATCTTTGAATTTCTGCAGCACATCTTGTAGATAGTATGTGTCAGTGACGGAGGGAGTGGATGCTTGTGGATATGGTGCCAATGAAGAGAGCTGCTTTATCCTGGATTGTGTCAAACTTCTTGAGTGTTGTTGGAGCTGCCCCCATCCAGGCAAGTGGGAAGTATTCCATCACACTCCTGACTTGTACCATGTAGATGGTGGACAGGCTTTGCGGAGTCAGAAGGTGAGTTACTTGCTGCAGGATTCCTAGCCACCTTATTTATATGGGAAGTCCAGTTCAGTTTCTAATCAGTAGTAAGCCCCAGGATGATGATAGTGGGGGATTCATTTTAAATATGTGCCCTCTGCTTCTTGATCCATTAATGAGTGGGAACAGTTTCTCCCTATCTACTCTATTAAACGTGCTCTTGATTTTGAAAACTTCCAGTAGATGTCCTCTAGCCTCCTTCCCTCTAAGGAGAACAGTCCCAACTTGTGACATAGCAACACCAAAGACTATCACAATTGTAACTCAGTTTGAACTAATTTTATTTTTTCAGTTTTCTTGAAGTTTTCTTTCTTTATTCTGTATTGCAGCTGTTTGATTCTGCAAGTTTTGAACACTTAAAAACATTCAGGACTGAACGGCCTGTCAATTCAGCTGCTATTTCTCCTATTGTGGAGCATGTAAGTAACGTGTAGGAACGTTAAACAAGAACTATTCAAAGCTCACTCATGTAACCTACATTTTATCACTATACTTACTTTCCTGCTAAGTTACAATGCTGGGTTTAGTGAAAATAATGATCCCCCAACTTCTTTTTCTGTCTTTAGGGTTGCACATAATGAGTAATCAATCTCAAGCAAAAACAGAATCTGCTGGAGAGCCTCAATAGGGCTGGCAGCATTTGTGGAGAGAGAAACTGAGTCAACATTTTGGGTCAAGTGACCCTTTATCAAAGTAATCTATCTGCAGCCTGGTGATTCCTGGAATATTTTGCAACGCATTTAAACACCACTTTATTTCAGTATTCTCTGGAAACTCGTTTTTAAAAAAAAGAGAATGGCTGGAGAAGTGGAGAACACACTAGTGTCACAATGACTTTTCATGATTCACTAGTCCAGGTGCAGTCTTATCTTTGGATGTTCATCAACATCGTCAAATTGTTCCAGCTCCCTTCTACAAGGGAGTCAGGGTTATGGGGATCAAGCAGGAAAGTGGATTTGTAATCACAATCAGCACAGCCACGATCTTATTGAATGTTGGAGCAGGCTCAAGGAGCCGAATGAACTAGTGCTACTCCTATATCTTAAGAGAAAAGCATGATGTATTAGGTGCAGGGATGCAATAATTTTACATAAACCCAAATGGCCTATACAATTCATACAAATTTACCTAAATGGTTACATAACAGATTCTGTTGTGTACTATAAAAGTTTGTTTGATCAATTTCTATTTCACAAGGTTGAATTGGATTCAAAGGCATAGTCATACAGCATAGAAACAGACCCTTCGGTCCAACCCATCAATGCTGACCAAGTTTCTCAAACTCAACTAGTCCAACCTGCCTGCACTTGGTCCATATCCCTCCAAAACTTCCTGTTCATATACTTATCCAAATGTCTTTTAAATGTTGTAACTGTACTTGAATCTACCACTTCCTCTGGCAGTACATTCCACACACGAATCACCCTCTGTGTGATAAAGTTGCCCCTCTGGTCCCTTTTAAATTTTTCTACTCTCACCTTAAAAATGTCTTCTAGTTTTGAACTCCCCTATCAGAGGGTAAAGACCTTTCCTATTCATCTTATCTATGTCCCTCATGATTTTATAAACCGCCTATGCTCCAGTGAAAAAGTCCCAGCCTATCTAGCCTCTCCTTAGAACTCAAACCCTCCAGTCCTGGCAACATCCTGGTAAATTTTTTTCTGAACCCTCTTCAAATTAATAATATCCTTCCTATAACAGGACAACCATAACTGTACGCTGTACTCCAAATGTGGCCTCACCAACGTCCTGTACAACCTCAGCATGACCTATACTCAGGGGTCTGAGCAATGAAAGCAAGCGTGCTAAATGCCTTCTTAAACACCCTGTCTAACTGTGATGCAAACTTCAAAGAACTATGTACCTGAACCCCTAGGTCTCTAACTTCGACAACATTCCCAAGGGCCCTCCTTTTAATCATTACCATTAAGTCCTAACGTTGTGTGATCTAAAACTGGCTTGTCATAAGTTTCATCCTGATTTTTCATTGGCTTTTGAACTGGATAAATGGGGTCTGTATTGAGTCTGGGTAGACATGCTATTACAATTTTCATCTTTGCTTCATGCCACATTGTCGTCCACTGTAAATAGAAAATACAGTTTGTGCCATAAGTTGAGAAGCAACATTTGAAAGTAATTCATTACCTTGAACTTTAATGCCTGTAGCTCATGAGTTACTGCTTTAATGAGTTCCCAGAAATGTAAGCCTGGTAAGAGATCTGTGATAATGCATAAGGGTCACTGTTCCAGTTACACTTCAGAGCAGAGCAGGAGTGGTCCTTACACTTTCAAATCTTTTTTTACAAGTGATTTATTTTCCATTTATAATGGAGTTGGGGTTGTGAAGGATCTACGTTTGCATTTATTGTATCTAATCATTTATTCGCTCAGAGATTAACATCCAGGAACAAAAGTTATTTTTTAAGAATGTTATTTATATTTAAGTATGTAATTAATTCCTGGAGATACAAAAAGTTTTTATGATACAGTCAAAGTTATAATTTTTTTAATCTAATTTCTGAAGTAGTTGAAGTGTGCAATCTGGTTTGATGGTTGTGGATGTAAATAATCCATTTATCTCACCAGTGTTCAATTGGGAGCAGTCCTACCGTATTTACTGTAGGTTGTCTCATTGGATTAGTATTCCACTTAAATCTTGGTTACACTTCATTAACTGCATTGAAATGTAGAAGATCTGCTTTCACTTTTACTTTCCAGCTGTCTTCATAGAAGTTGCCATCTTTTTCCACTGATGGTGTACGGAGAGGACAGCTGATAATGCTATCATTACTTCTATGGATACAATAACACCCTCATACATCATGCATTGTAGGCATTCAACTTAATAGGAAAAGTCATTTTCAATTAAACTGTTTCTGCCTCACTGGCTTGGAGATGGAAGTTATTCATGTGTTGGTACTAATGTTATCTGCTTTTCTACTTGCTGAGACCTGAGCCAAGATTGCAGCAACTGGTTTTAAGCTTCCATTTTCAATCCTATAAAGGCATGATGCTGCCTTCCACACCTTCCAAAGCCTAACTGTTTACTGTAGATTTATAATTTAAACCATTAGCTACAAGTTTCCTTTAGCCCATTCTTTCAGAGCCGGTAAACCACGTTGATGCAAATGTTGCTGGTTTAGCTGAAATCAGAGCACTGTGTCCTTGACCTGTCTTGTTCACTAGGACTAAGGAAAACATTTCAAAAATAATGTATCTTCCATTCAAATGGAGATTTAGTAATGAGAAAATGGGGAAATAGTGGCATTGTTAATGGACTAGCAATCCAGAACCCCAGGTTATAGTGGTCTGTCATCATAGGTTTGAATCCCACTTGGCAAATGGTGAAAATTGAATTCAGTAAAATCTGGAATTAAAAGCCAGTCCAATGGTGACTGCATAACAATTGTCACATTCCTTAACCCAGAAATGACTTGTTTTATTTAAATGTACTAAATCACATCCCATGGACTATTAGCAAATATTTAATATTGCCTGTTGATTCAAGAGGAACATTTTAATCTAAATTATTCAACAACATTCAAATTTTAAGCAATACTTGATCTCTTTGGTTTCTGAGTCTGGAACATGTACAGATCTAAGCTTTCACAGTGTCAAATGTGTTGATTCTGTGGCTGGGGAAAGCAGACTGCAGGTGTATCCACAGATTGCTCCAAAACAATAGGACAAATGATACCTCTCTACACTTTTTTAGGTGTTTATACATGAATAAGCAGTGTGCTTTTGTAATAGGTAGAATTGGTAAGCAGGTGGGTATAACCTACATGTTTCAATTGTAGTAAAACCTCTACCTGTACTGGGTTGGAGATGGGAGGGGAATACAATGTGGGTGAAAATTCTATAGTCTATCCTCTTTGGATCATGTAGCCTCAGAGTCAGAAATCCAGCCTGTAATACTAGCAGTTTAGGTCAAACTTCACTTCTTTGTTCACATTTTTGTCCAGTCTAAATGTTGTGAGCAACTGGTTTGGAAAGATTTGCTCTGTGCAATGTTATGTCATTATTAGATAAATTCTAAGTCCAAAACCAGGATCTTGTACATAGCTTGAATTGTATGCAACTTAATCAGAGTATTAAAGTTAAACTTTAAATGTGACCATTTGCAGCTCAACAACCCACAAAGTCAAAAAGTTTGAATGCTTCTGATCTAGATCAACTGTTTCTCTGCTAGTGTGATCAGAACTGCTAGCAAAAAGGATGCAGTAGATTAAGGACAAATTGTGAACCCATCACACTCTTGGTTTAGAACCAACGCTGGTTGGGTTAGTTCGCAACATTTTTAATTATTTGATATGGCCGTCTTTAAATTTTATTCAGTCAGGGTTAAAGTGTCAATGTAATTTTGTGACCCAACATACTGTTCATGTGAAATTAAATCATCTTGAGAATGAATCATTTCTGGGTTAAATCATCTAACAGATCTTCAGGGCAGATCTGTACATACGCAGTGTTTATGAGATATGACTCACTTTCCTGCTTAATTGACCATATCCAAAGCAGAACTAAACAGTGATGAGACCACCCTTTGCAGTACATGCAATGAACATTAAAGGGTGATTGTGTTTTTGTGTTAAACCTTTAACTGTGTGGAGTTGGTTTGCAGTTTATAGTTTGTGAAGATGTTTCTTTGTGTAGAAGATTTTTACTTGTTATGACGTATAATTTCAAAGCTGATAGAGCAAAGCTGTCTTTTTACAGCTGTAATATGCATCTGAATATTGCAGTTTTTCTCAGAGCTGGACTGTATTCTTCTGCCCATCATATATGGTGTGATACACGTTTCTATATTTGGAGACGATTGTCCTTCAGTTAGTTGTCAAAGACCATTGTACTGCATTCTAGAACATCCTGTGTGAGTCTGACCAGTGAATGAAGTATTGCTGCTGTCAGTGTGGTATTCTTGTGGTTTACTTTGGTTAATTGTATCAATACTGGATTTTGATTTAATAGGTTGTCCTTGGTGGTGGTCAGGAAGCAATGGATGTCACAACGACCTCCACTAGAATTGGCAAGTTTGAGGCTCGGTAAGTAACAACGTTGTGGAGTTAATTCATTTAAACTTTTATTTTGATATGTTATCTTTTACATTTTGAGTGTTTAGCTCAGCATTATAAATTCTGTATTTTACCATACAGTTCACTCACTAAGCTTGGTGCCCGACTCACCGCTAATTAAGGGAAATATTGTATGCCATTGGGATGGATAGTACTGTCCATAGTGCAGCTTGGAATTATTGTTTCAGAAAGGTTTATTTTCCGAAGGATGTCATTTGCTGATGCCACTCCAATGTGGGTTACCTATACTTCAGTTGTTTGTCACTATTTCTGTCAGTTCTTCACATTATGCTTTACATTACTCTGTTGCATGGCTTCTTTTACGATTTGTGTTCTCCTTCCTAATGATGGTGAATGAAACCATCCTGATCATGTTATTTTGTTGGGCTTGTCCTCAATGCTGTGCCAGGAATGTCGGTTGTTCCATTTGTGCGCAGCCTGAATTTGAGGACTGTTCTGCTGAATGATATTACTCCGTACCTTTTCTGTGATCGACTAATTGGGTGCGAACCTGCAATTCAGACAAGGAGCTTTCCGGAATTGATAGCTGAGACAGAGAATTTATTTTATCTTCAAAATACTTTTCACACTTACTTCAAATTAACATTTCAGTTAAAGACTTTACTTATAGACCATTTAGCCTTGAACTTGTTCAATCTTAAATATGACTTTCCGATTGTAGAGCATTTAAATTAATTTTTCTGCTTCTTTACTTCATGATGCCAAAGGACTCCAACTAAGATTCAGTTTATTTGATTCTGTATGTTATGATGGAGTAATTTTGAGAGGTTGATCATTAATGGAGCCAGTGTAGATCAGACTTATGAAATGTTCAAACATATTTATCTTTTTAACAAATATAATTTAGTAGCCTATCTTTAGGAAAACAAAAGCAAACAGCAAAGGCTGTGTTCTAGACAAGAGATGACCTTTACTTGCAAGAAAAGGTTGCTTAGCTCAGTTGACTGGATGGCTGGTTTGTGATGCAGAGTGATGCTGGGTTTAATTCCTACACTGGCTGAGGTTATCATGAAGGAATCACTTTCTCATCTCTCCCCTCACCTGAGGCGTGGTGACTCTCAGGTTAAACCCTCAGTAGTTGTCTCTCTCTAACAGGAGACTAGCCCATGATCTTCTGAGACTATGACGACTTTACCTTTTAATATCAGGATGATATCGGCTGGAGTTTTAGCACAGTTCCGTGAATCAACTTAATTCATACTTGTGGCTTCAGACAAAATACAGTATAATGATGTGGCCCTGTACAATAGTTTAACCAACTCGTTTTCTCTTTTTAGATTTTTCCATTTGTCATTTGAAGAGGAGTTCGGTAGAGTGAAGGGTCACTTTGGACCGATCAACAGTGTGGCTTTCCATCCTGATGGGAAAAGGTTAGCACAATAAATTTGATAATTGTATTTGAAGCTTTTTGATGTAATATATTGAACTGCATTGAAACTAATAGAAGGGATTTTTAAAAATTTATTGTTTTCGCTCAAGTGTTGCTGTTCTTCAATCGATCTGTTCCAGACATTTAGAAATGTTTAGAGACAATTGATATTTGGGGTTTCTTATTTTCTTGGTTCTGAGGTGGGACAAAGAAGGAATGTGTGCAGAAACTTAATTTTGTAAATAATAGTATGAATGTCCACACCAATACCATTTTAGTTCTTAAATATTATTACCCTGCTTTCTAATACAAGCTTGGAGTAGACAAGACTGACCTAGGGCCTAATCTAATCAATACTATTTGTTCTTTACAGTTACAGTAGTGGAGGTGAAGATGGTTACGTGAGAATACATCATTTTGACCCACAATATTTTGAATTTGAGATGGAATTTTGAGGAAATGAGAGATCATTACTTGCAAATTGTATTGCAAGAATTATTTTGTTAAATAAAAGTATACAAAAGAGTATTATCATTAATGTACTCTGTATCTCATCAATTCAGTTGTTCTGCGCAATTGGAGATATGCACAGCAAATGTTTTACAGTGTAACGACAAAGACTTGAACAGAAAAATCATTTGCCCTATTTAATTTTTCATATTATAGATGTGTAACATGGACCACTTTGCAAAGATCAGCACTAGTTCTTGATGTTTTTAAAATAAAAATTGGCTTCAATGAAATTGGAAGAATGTTTGCTTCAGTTAACTTTCTAAATTAAATTCTGAATTAGTGCACTGAAACAAAGGACTGTTTCATTAATGTTCTGAAATAAAAATAATTTGTTTGAGCACAAAGTTAATTTGTCAGTGGAGTTATTTTAAATGTATTATTGTTCGTGTTGTTGAAATGATTAATATTTAGACTTCTGTACCTGATTTATCTACTGTGTAGAATGAAGACTTTATTTGTCCAAGAAGGAATTCCAAACAGGACTTTTCACACAAAATTTGGATTGAAAATGTTTTACAGCAAGATAGGACTAAAATTTTGATTCTCAATTGACTTTGCTGTACATTCTGATTTCGTACTTCTGCTAAACTTGCTGTGTATACATAGTAAGTCATTCATAATCATAAAAAGTCCTACATTGATCTTGTATTTCACAAATTGAATAGTTAGATATTTCTATTGACTTTCATATAATCGTAACTACAATGGCTTTTATGTAACATTGGAAACTGTATGTGTGCTAATTTTGCACCTAGTACCAGTTTGTCTAAATTTTGCTCGTGGCTAGAGTGCCTGGTTGAAAGCTAACAATGATTTTAATTACAGGAAATGTGGAGGCAATGGCCCAGTGGTAAGATTGCTGGACTGTTAATCCAGAGACCCAGGTAATGTTCTGGGGAACTGGGTTCAAATGCTGCCACAGCAGATGGTGGAATTTAAGTTCAACAAAGAATCTGGAATTAAGAGTCTAGTGATGACCATGAATCTATTGTCGATTTTTGGAAAACTCGTCTAATTCAGTAATGTCCTTTAGGGAAGGAAACTGCCATCCTTACCCAATCTGGCCTACATGTGACTCCAGAGCCACAGCAATGTGGTTGATGCTTAACTGCCCTCTGGGCAATTAGGGATGGGCAATAAATGTTGGCTCAGCCAGCGATGCCCTCATCCTTTGAATGAATTAGAAAAAAAAGACAGACTATATTGTCTTCTCTCAAAGCACTGGAAAAACCAATGTTCAGGTGCAGAATTAATATACAGTATATCAGCTGCTGATATTTCAGTCTTAAATTGCTGGTGCAGTATAAGCTTTTCCGTGATCCCCCACACAATTGTAATGGTTTGTTTGCAATCACTATTACGTATTAAAATTGAAAAGTCTCCTGACAGAGATACGAGAGTGTTCAACAAAAGCTAAACTCACAATCTGGGTACTTATTTTTTTAAAATATCATTTCTTGAGAAATATCCAAGTAATCACTGAAAAAGGAAAGCAAAATAGACATGCCCCATTGCAGATCTAGAGCATTTTGTGGTAATGCAGTTTGTCATCTTAACATTTTTTTTTGCAAATTCAATTTTGACAAGCACTTTATTGAACTGAGATGGATACAATTGTCTGTAAGGTTTCCTTTCTTGGTCTAAATCTGCAAAGATCATAATGATCTAATGCTAACTCTGTCTTTATTTCTATCAACTGAAAGTATTTGTTAGGATAAATGTGTTGTTTAATGCTGTTATCTTTTCCTAGGGTTTTCAGCAATTAGAACAAGGTCCACAATTAGCAAGAATGATGTAGTTAGCAAGACAGTTAAATTAGTCGAGATAGTGCTGGTTGCTGACAAAATTCATCCAAAGGGTTCTTTGTGAAAGCATTTGTGAAATAGGTTAGCACCCAAGACAAGGAGCAATCAAATATTTCTGGAAAGAGAAAATCCAGTAAGCTAAATCAGTACATTCAACATTATAAAAATTCTTTCTGCTCCTTTAAATGAGTTTATTTTGAGTTTGAGTGCAATGTTCCCAACAGTTCTGCCTCTGGATTACTACTCAAACAATGAAAACAATAATTTAGGATTACTATTGAAAGTAATATACTGGCTGATTACACCGATAGAGGTGACATTTTGTGTTTAATTATTCTGTGGTAATATTGCTACTAGAAAAGGTTCTATTGTCTGAAACAGCTTGTATTATGAACAGCTATCACCTTCATGCTACAATGAATAAAGTACTGCTACAAATCAACAGCAAAGCCCATTTTAATAAAAATCTAACTTACTGCAATGTTATATTGTGGGATTACAGAAAGATTTTACAAAAGTGCCTTGGTAATGTAGTTTTGGGCTTGAATTTCTTACGCAGTTGGTTCCTAAATCCAATGTTGCTGCAAACAAATAAGAGTAGGAAGGCACCTTTCCCCTAACTGTGCCGAGTAGCACTGATTAGAAGCGTGGGATTAGAACTAAATTCCAAATTGTGACCAGACAGGGGGAGTGGATACAGTGAAAAGGAAAGAAAGATAAAGCAAATGAGAGTATAAAATGAACAAAAATTGTGCTGAAGTGTCTTCAGAAAAAATATCATCCCTCATTTCTTTTGATTATGGCATTATCTCACCCTTGAGAATTAAAGCAACGAATAAAATGTAAACTGCAGAGCTTTAGCCAGCATATGTGTGTCTCTCATAGTGAAGGTGGGAGAACTGGTCGCATGGGGAATGCAGTGCTGTCAGCAATGATAAAATATTAGTAGCAATCGCATTCACTTTTAACTTAAAGATTGCTGCAGATGAAAGAGGACAGTGACTTCAAACACATGAACAGAAACTGAATTTAAAATGAAAATTCATTTTACATATTATCTACATTTGAAGAATTTTATAGACAACGTTATTTAAAATGTCCCTAAGCTCATTACAATTTAGGGCTGGGAATTATGTTTTTGCAAAATCTCACCAAATTTCTTGATTTTGTTAGTTCATTAGAAGTCTTTGAGAAAAATATTAGACTGCATCCAGTTTTTTTTAAAAAAATCAATCTTGTGGATTTTGCTGCTGACTCAGCACGCCAGTTTGCCAAAATGCTTCACTGAACAGAATGCATCATATTCACCCTGCAGTTTGTGCAAAGATAGCTGATCATAGTTAAATTACTCCAAAAATCCTGGTTCTGAAGGGGAAAAGTAGTGTGTTTCTGCTGATTCCTCTTCAATAACCTCCTGCTGGCATCACTTTAGACGGGAATACCACGATCAAATGCTCCACTGATATTCGCTGTCAAGGTGTTTGTGTGTATTATGAATGAGAGTGATTTGGAAGAGACACCACCATTTCATACGTAGGAGTCCTGAAAAAGGGTCACTGGACTTGAAATGTTAACTGTTTCTCTCTCACCAATTCTGCTGAACCTGCTGAATTTCTCCGACAATTTCAGTCTTTGTTTCAGACTTCCAGCATCTACAGTTCTGTTCTATTTCAGTATGTAGGGGGTTCGTTAGCTTGGATGGCTGGTGTGTGATGCAGGGAGATGCCAACAACATGGGTTCAATTCCTGCACTGGCTGTGGTTACCATGAAGATCCCATCTTGTCAAACTGCACCCCCCCCGCACCCCCCCCCCACCCCAACCCCTCTTTGTGTCATCTGCGGTAACCTTCAGGTTAAACTAGTCATCGCTGTAATGAGACGGCCGACCTCTGGGATTTTGGCAACTTTACCTTTTACTTATAGAGCCAGACCCATGCAAGGTCAAGTTGCTTACAGGAGAAGAGATGAGAAAAAAATAAGTGAAGAAATAAAGCTGCATTGTGAAGTAAAATCAAAGCTTTCCGGTCATTCCATCGACAAGATACATTGAGTCATACAGCATGGAAACAGACCCTTTGGTCCAACTAGTCCACACTGACCATATTCCCAAACTAAACGAGTCCCACTTGCCTGTGTTTGGCCCATATACCTCCAAATTTTTCCTATCCTTACCAAATGTCTTTTAAATGTTGTAACTGTAGCTGCATCCACCACTTCCTCTGCCAGTTCATTCAACAATCAAACTAATTCTCTGTGTAAAAAAGTTGCATCTCATATCCTTTTTAAAACTTTCTCCTTTTACCTTAAAAATATGCCCTTTAGTTTTGAACACCTCTACCTTAGGGAAAAGACCTCTGTTATTCACCTTATCTATGCCCCTCATGATTTTATAAACCTCTATAAGGTCACCCCTCAACCTCCTACGCTCCAATGAAAACTGTCCCAGCCTATCCAGCCTATTTTTATAACTCAAACCCTCCATTTCCAGCAGCAATATCATAAATCTTTTCTGAACCCTCTCCAATTTAATAACATCCTTCCTATAGAAGAGTGACCAGAACCGTACACAGTACTTCAGAAGAGGCCTCACCAATATCCTGTACATGATGTCCCAACCCCTATACTGAAGGTCTGAGCAATGAAGGCAAGAGTATTAAATGCCTTCTTAACCAGCTGTGACGCACATTTCAAAGAATTATGTACCTGAGTCCCCTAGGTCTCTGTTATTTTATTTTTGAGCCCAAATATGGTAAACAGGTGCCAACTTTATCAATGGTGCTGTCTCCCAAACAGCACTGAAAGGATGCACACCCATAGCAGATTTTTAACTGAAGTGATTGTACACTAAGGTTTGTAAATGTGTATTAAAGCTTGAATTGACAATGACTGACTAATCCTGATACTATATCACCTTTTGTTCCCAAACATGGCTGAAAGTCAGCTCAAAAATCCCCTGATACCTGAGACCAGAAATCCAAACCATGTTTATAATGATAATGTCAAAACAAATTGCATTGGTTAAAAACATTGGTTGGAAAATAAAAAAAAAATATTATGCAGCTCCTTTAGCAAATATATCCTCATTACTGCATTAAGATACAGTGATTAAATATGATAATGTACGTTGCTTTCAACTGAAATTTTGGGATAGTTTATTTTCAGCTACCAACACATGCCAAAAAAAAATCTACATTCCATCTAGTTCAC